CTTTTTTTTTTTTTTTTGAGACAGAGTCTCGCTTTGTTGTCCAGGCTAGAGTGAGTGCCGTGGCGTCAGCCTAGCTCACAGCAACCTCAAACTCCTGGGCTCGAGCGATCCTTCTGCCTCAGCCTCCCGAGTAGCTGGGACTACAGCCATGAGCCACCATGCCCGGCTAATTTTTTTATATATATATCAGTTGGCCAATTAATTTCTTTCTATTTATAGTAGAGACGGGGTCTCGCTCTTGCTCAGGCTGGTTTTGAACTCCTGACCTTGAGCAATCCGCCCGCCTCGGCCTCCCAAGAGCTAGGATTACAGGCGTGAGCCACCGCGCCCGGCCCAGCAATTCAGTTCTTGATAAGAAAATGTCAGTAGTCTCCTCAAGGGCAAAAAGCTAAATGTAGCTTCCTCCAGCTACTTCCTCCCTTTCTACTACAGCACCAGGTTTGTTTATCTATTGTCCCTGCTTTCTTTCACTTCATAAGATGGGTGATATGATATCAGTAAAAGGCAATAGAGTCAGGACAGTTTATACCAATACTAGCTAGATGCTTTTGGTTTATTGTAAGCTACTGAGGCCTTATAATGTTTTCAACAGCTATAGATGGTTTGCACTTAAGGAGAGAATGCAAAATAAAAACAAACACAAAGAGACTGGTGAACTGTTAATATGATTGTTAGCCCAAGTGTTAAGTAATGACAATATTCAGGACTAGAAGTTAGAAAGTGTGTGATATTTAAGTAGCTTTAATGTGACAGTTTGGGGCTAGTATTTTTGTATGTCAGACTCTGTTTGTGATTTATAATGATTCTGCATTTGAAATTCACTTTAATTTCCTCTTGCTTTTGCATTAGAAATAATTCATTGTAAAGAACTCTAAAAAAGAACTGACTTAATTTTATTTTAGGGTACTGCACATCCACGATTACACTCTGGAAATATTCTAATAGGATCATTTCAGAGAACAGGGAGAATATTCTTTAACATTATTTTATTATCACTCATTTATTAATATTAGTTCATTCATCTGTATTAGTAAATATGATGTTTGACATGTGAGTAGTACATAATTGCCTTTTTAAACATGCATTTTATTTTTTGAAATCATAAGACTTTGTGAACTAAAATAAAATCTTAAGCTCCCCCCATTGCTAACTGAATGGACCGCTTCTTGGCCAAAAAAATACCCTTCAGTTTTAACTGAGTTGTTGGCCATGAGAAGGGAGATCAGACATGCTTCATCATGCCCCCCTCCCTTCTTGGAGTTACTCTTTGTAACTCATTAACAGGCCTGAGACTAAGCAAGACAAAGCTTAAACCACACCTGTAGGTCCTAGATTTACATAACAAATCACTTGAGTATGGGTATATGGCCCCTGCTTGGTGGCTTGTCTATGACTAACAGACTTCCTTATCTTAAAACATTCCAAGACTTTAGACAAAGCTTCATTTCTTTAACCAATTACAAATTGAAGAGTCTTTAAACCCATCTATAACCCTCCGCCCCTTGAGATGTCCCACCTTTCTGGGCCAAACCAATGTACAGCTTCCATTCATTGATTTGCAACTTTACAGGTAATTCCTGTCTCCCCAAAATGTATAAAACCAAACTGTAACCCAGCCATGGTGAGTCTACTTGCTCAAGGCTTCTTGGGCATGGCTCAGGGCCACAATCCTCAAACTTGGCTCAGAATAAACCTATTTAAATTATTTTACAGAGTTTGGCCTCTTTTCTGTTGACAACTTAATAACACTTTAAAAGACTCTTGGATGACCCCTTGGATTGATTTACCTCCTTCAGAAAGATATCCTTCCTCACAGATGAATAGTCTTTTTTTAAAAGTCATGGGGAAAGACTATTATTTTATTTACCTAACCATTCACTTAACTTTCAGAAAATTCTCTGGTCAAATGTTCGAATGGTCAGGGTCTGACCAGTAATATGTTTAAATGTTTTCAGATTATTCCTGATCATAATTTTCTTTGGTTATTTTTCTCAGAGGTTATTTTTATTGTTGGATATCTGTAGTACTTCACTAAACAAGTTTAATTTATGCTGTTTTGATTTCTAGTCAGCTTACAAGATAATTTACCAGAGGATGAATGTGTGGGAAAATATGAGAGAATTATAATTAAGAGTGTTTTGCTATATTGGGGACTTTAAAATATGGCAGTGATGAGTGTGTTTTAATCCATTTATTTTTCTTTGTCCTCTCAGGTGGATCTCCTTACTTAGCAACCAAAATAAATGAAGCAAAAGACTTGCTAGAAGCAACCACCAAACATTGATCGATGCTCAAGGACCACGCTGAAGGATAAAAGGGAGGGGGACTTAAAAAAATCAAACAAAACAGTCCTACAAATTAATCTAAACACTCTTCTTAATTTTCATACATATATTGACCACAATCATCTTCCACCATTAAGCTATGTAACAATAAAAGATTAATAGTCTTGTTTTTTGTTCTCTTTTAAAAGAACCCCTTAAAATTCTATAAGTGATCTTTTTCTTTATTTTTTTTCTATGATAGTTATACTTTTTAAGATTTTTGTTAAGTTAGTCCTAAATCCCCCCACAACACACAAGCAGGCAAAAAGTATTATTGTCATGAATGCGATTGGGATTCATGAGCAATGAGTGGAAATTTTCTTACTGCTTATATTTGTACCCTTGTTGTCCCCTGTTTCCTTAGAGGAATTTGGGACTTTGCCTATATAAGTGCTTTAAATATTTTGAGACCAAACACTGGCTGCCACCTCCTGGGAAAATGATCTGAAATGTAATGGAGTTTACTAACTGATGTTTTGTAAGGTAGTGGTTAGGCCTTGTTAAAGAATGCTACTCTCTCTAAGATCCTATAGCTGAAGCATGAGAACTTAGAGAGCTACTAAAATGATGAAAGATTTACAAAATGAGCCCTATGAGGAAAGGCTGAAAAGAGCTAGGAGAAATCTGAGGGATTTATTTTAATTATAGTCTTCCAGTGCTATATATTTATTCATTATTCATTCTACAAATATTTATTGACCACCTATGATGCGTAAGGCACTGTAGTGGGTCCCCTGAGAGTAACAAGTAGGAGCTAGTCATGGATCCTCACCCAAAGGAACTTACATTTAGAGGAAGGATAAATCGCATAAATAATGAATGCTGTTAGAGAAGTTCAAATGATATGTTAAAGAAGTTCAAAAGAAGAAAAGAATATTTTAAACTGAATGCACATGAGGGCGTGCTGAGTGGAATAAGTGGCATAGAGCTAGGCTTTACAAAATTAAACAGAGATGCTGCATGATTGGGCAGTGTTTCCCCTGAGATCGGAATTCGCAGAAATAGACATATCAATTAGCCTGATTGGAGTGCAGGGTTTCTCAAAAGCAAGGGTTGGACAGAGTGGTCATGAAAGGCCAGCCCTGTGACTTACACTGCATTAAACTAATTTCTCAAATCACAGTCCCAGAGCAGCACTTTATAATTCCAAAGGTGAACAGATTCAGATACAGAGTACCGGCATTATTTCCCAATACTCCTTTACAAATCTTGGGTTCATTCTAGGCAAATTGAACTACTGTGTTTCATCTACCTTAAAATAGTTTTTAAATATCCTAGATGCATCTTTCAAGTTCTGACATTCTGTAGCTTAAGAGTTTTCAACATTAGCACTATTGACATATTGGGCCAAATAATTCCTTTTTATGGGGAGCTCTCCTGTGCATTGTAGACGATTAGCAACAACCCAGGCTGTTTGTTACCTACTAGAGACCAGTAAGTAGCTCCTCCTCAAGTTGTGACGACCAAAAATGTTTCCAGACATTGCCAAATGTTCTTTGAAGGACAAGACTGTCCAAAGTTGAGAGCCACTGCTGTAGATGTTTAATTAATTGTTTTTTTCTTTTGGTACATAAAATAATGGTGTGACTTTAAATTGATTGAAGCTTAGAGACAATAAAATATGGTTCTTGCTTTAAAGTCTCCATGCATGTCTTAATTTTCTCATGCTTTAGTGTTTCTCATTTTTCTGCTGTTATTTTTGTGCCTAGAATGCTGCCCTAATCCCTAGATCTCCACGTGCGCAAACTCTAGGCATAGTTGAAGGCCAAGCTAAAATGTACCACTCTTTTTCTGATGCTTCTAGTAAAAGTAATATGAATTTTCAGCTCTCTGAGACTGGAACCATAACTGTCTTGTTCACTGGTACATTGTACCCAGTAGATATTTATTGAATGAATGAATTGCCATAGTACTTTATTCCTCACTTATGGTACCCATAGTTTGGTACCTTGTGAAACAACTATGTGTAACGTACCTTATTTCTCCTACTAAAGTACCAGAACCTTTAAAGCAAGAATCTCTGTAAAGGAGCACTTGCACTTAGTAGGCATCATAAGTTTTAAGTACTAAGAAAATGTTGCCATTTTCTGAATACTATGCATCAAAAATGTTACTGTGCATTTGGAAAGTTATGCTAAGCAGTGTGGGGACATCTTCAGAACACATCTTTTAACTGATGCCATGTTTTCCTAATCCATACTGCGTTTGTGAGAATTCAAGTCACTCCAGCATTAGCTTGGAATCTCCTTCATTCCCATTTTCTTTGCGTGAGCCTCCTATCATGTGATCTCGGGCAGTTAATTTGTAACACTATAACCCTCATCTATAAACTAGAGAAAAAAAATCCTCTCTAATAAGCTTGTCATAGGGAATGAGGATGTGTAAAGCATTTAGTCACACAGCAAATGCCCCCAAAAGATAATTATTACTTCTTTTACTGCCTTATTTAATTACTTTTATCTTTTAAACCCCTTTGGATTAAGGTTTGCGGTATATTCCAATAATTATTTTACTCTTGAATTTGCAATTTGGGGAGGACATAGTGGGGACAGCTCGTCTCTATTCCATGTGGCATTAACAAGCTGGAGGAGCCACTTCGCTGGCCAGCAGTCAGAACTGGTTGGTGGCTGGGATGCTTGGTTCCTGTCTACATAAGGCTCCTCTCTAGATAGGCTTCCCCACAGGGCGACTAGAGCATTGTTACACCACAGCAGCTGTGTTAGGAAAGACAGTGGTCCAAGAGACCAGAAGTGGAAGCTGCTAAACTCATCCTGGTCTGAAAATTGTCAGGGCATCACTTCTGCTACACTGAGTAGGACTAAGTTATTAGAGCCTGCCTAGATTCAAAGGAGAGGACAGAGAGGACTGTGAAAGAATCTGTGGTCATCTTTAACATGTACCAAGGCAGGGTTGGGAACTTTTCCCCTTAAGTCCATTAAGGCATTACTTTAAAAAATCAGGCATATATAATTTAACTACATACTTAGAGTATAAGCTTAGGAAGTTTTAGATAACAAAACTATTTTAGGCACATATTCAGTAGTAATTCTCTAAATGGCAGTGTACTTATAAAATTGGATTTTCACCAGCTATCAACCCTCAACTCATTATCTGTGAAAACCTTGTAGGAATGGTTACCTAGTTTCAGTGAAGATTGCTTTTTACATATTTTCTGTCATTGCATATTCTGCTTAATTAAGCCCTTTGTTGATATTGCAGTTTCTGTTTATTCTTGCATCTTAGATGTAATCTGAGGGAACAGGAAGGACCTTTTTAAAAACAAAACAATTACTTCGCAGATGCCAGAGAAAGTGTAAGTCAGATGGACAGCTAATTAAAGGGGAGCGCAGAATGCCGCTTAAATAATAGTGGATGGTGCCAATCTCCAGCGCAAAGTCGAAAGTGGAGAGAAGTTTAGTAAGGAAAAAAGAATGCTGAGAGTGGAAGACATTGTTTAGTCTTCAAAGCACTCCCTTTATTTTGTTTGAAATGCATTTTAGTCATTCAGCAAATATTAAACACTTAAAATGTTTAATATGTTCAAACTAAATAGAAAAAAATACATTCTCAAACAGATAACTATTTTTGTCTCATACTTTTTAATTAACAAGAAATATTAAGAGTTGTGTTACCGGGCATGCTTATGATTGCCCGGCAGGATCATTAGAAATAACGTATTTTATCCAGGTACAGATCTTTTGGTTGTCATGGAGAACCCTGAACACAGGGAAGAGCTTTTAATGATTTATCTTCAAGACCTTTCGCAATTAGCTTAATATAGTTTAGTGACATTTGTGGGAGAAGATGAATCAGCTAGGCCCTAAAGTTAAGAACATGAAATTTCTGAGTCAACCAACTTAGGATGAGCTACAGAAACTGCAGTGAAAAGTGAAATATCCAAGTAAACCAGCTCATTTCGCACAATGGAACCACACTGTCCCACATAGAAATATTAAATATTTCCATAATAATAGCTAGTATTTGTTAAGGATCTGTGCCTCTGCACCTCGTGCAGCAGTTATCTCGCAGATAGAGACCTCTGGCTACTAGGAGGATTGATAGGAGTGAGTAAATATGTCAGCATAAGCCCTCCCTTCTAATGGAAAAGCAACCCAAAGAGCATATCCTATTAACACTAGATCAGTATCATCTACTTGTCAAAAACATTCTGTGAATTATGAGCAAAAATTTTATTTATGATAGAGTCATAGACATTTGGAAATTAGGATTTTTGTTAGTACAATTTATTAGCTGGAAAAGTTGAGAAGATTCTCTGGACTCATTTTTATAGGTGGAATCTAAGTGATCTGGATCATTGCCCACTAGCGAAATTGCTGGGCATGGTAGACAAAGAAAATGTTCCTTCTAATGATTTTTTATGAGCTGAGTAGCTATTGTTCCCAGCTGAGTGCTCTTTTCCTCTTTTTATTGTTGCTGAGCAAAAGAATTTATAAAAAGCTCTTTCTTTTTTATTAAAAACCCTGCTCAATTGAAATGCAAGTTCATTAAGTACTGTTCATTTCTCTTCTGCCATAATAACCCTTTCCCCCTCTGGTCTATTCAACAGTGCCTAGCAGCACTGGTCAACATTTTAAATCTGAACAGACTATATTATGTAGATACAGATACATAGATGTGCACTCTCCAACATTAAGAGGGAGTTGAATTTCACATGGGCAGAATGTAATCACTCAGGCTAGATATTGGCCATAAATCACAAATTAGTGCCTCAACTTGAAGAAAATATTCCCTGGAAAATTAAATCAACAGTGGCAAACTTACTTCCATTATGACCGGATGAAAATCATGTAGAGATTTTGGTTCAATATTGACATCTACAAAGCAGCAGTGCTAAAGGCCAAGAACTTAAAGTCAGTTCATTCTCATAGACCCAATAATATTTCCGTAATAACAGCTAGTATTTGTTGGGGACCTGTGCCAAACATTCTGCCTATATTATCTCTTTTGATTTTCATAGCTACCCTAAGAGATAGGTACTATTATTTATCCCCATTTTACAGATGAAGAAACAAAGGCCAGGAAGTGGTGGTACTATAGTCCAAATTCAGTCTGGCTTGACTCTGAAGCACATGCTCTTTATCTTTCATTATATTGCCCCAATCCTAAATATGTGGGAATCAGTAGAATGAAGGGGCTTATATGACTTTTGGCTCATTTTGTGTTGCTTGTGACCTTGGGTTATAAATGTGAAAATAGGTTTATGAAAGGATCCAGGGTCACTGTGCATCATGAGCAAGGAGTACCTTATATCTTCAGTTCTTCCCTGGAAGCTTGTAACGCCCATCCAACTGCACATAGTAAAAGCTCATTGAAAAGTTTGGCAGTGTGACTTTCTTGAACTGAGAGTAGCTTTGGAGGAAGCTTTGATGAGTTTTTGTTTTATTTTGTTTTTTTTTTTTCTTTTTGAGACAAGGTCTTATTCTGTCACCTGGGCTAGAGTGCAGTGGCTTCATCATAGCTCACTGCAACCTCAAACTCCTGGACTCAAGTGATCCTCTTGCTTCTACGTCCCAAGTAGCTGGGACTACAGGTGTGTGCCACCATGCCTGGCTAATTTTTTATTTTTTGTAAAGACGGAATCTTGCAATGTTTTTTGTAGAGAAGGGATCTCAAACTCCAGGCCTCAAGTAATCCTCCCACCTCAACCTCCCAAAGTGCTAGGATTACTGATGTGAGCCACTGCACCCAGCCTTTGATGAAATTTTATCTGAAACTTTCATGGGCAAGAGCTTTCAAAGAGGACATCCAGAGCGAGGTTCAGTAGACAGCTCATGAAAGTGAAGCAGCAGACCTCGGGGGAGAAATGAAGAGATAGCTCAATGTATTAAAGATGAAAACAAGAAGACTGAATTTATTGAAAGAAGCAGAGAGGCAATGAAAAAAAATTAAGGTTAAAATCAGACAACTGAAACGAGAAGAGATAAGTCACAGGATTTGAAAGGGAATTGCAGTGTTTTAGTAGAAGTTTAAAAAATTGTTTTTTACTAGTCCCAACTGTGAACTGGGTTATTTGTTCATGTCATGCTTTTGTGCCAAATTCCAAAATTATATTTGCACAGTTATAGGGCTGTCTAGTAGAATCAATAAAACTTTTAGTCACCAATCTGAGAATGTGTCTTTGAGATTATCATTTAACTCTCTATGCTTCCATGCCCTATAATAAAGGGTGACAAGTTTTCTAACTCCTGAAGAAGATTTCTAACTCATGACTAATATTCATAGCAGCCTTGTGGGTTCCTTGAACATAAGAAACACCCATATTCAAAACGAGTGCATTCCACAGCCCAGCTGGTGGCCTTCCCATTTGTCTACTCTGTGCGGTACCAGTGCCTTTGCTCTTCCCTGCTGTGAATGTGGATAGTCAAGAGTTGACTTTAGAAGTGTTTACACTTTGGCTTCCATGCCTCTGGGATATTTGTCCTTTGGTGATGATATGTGAGACTTTATTTGCATATTCTGCCTTTCTCAGGCTGTCCTAGAATGTTCTATCGTCCAATGTCGCAGAAAGAACAGCATGTACACACCAAGAAGCTACCCTACCTTCCCTGGTTAAGCCCACTTGGGTCTGAGTTGTGTCTTCTTTCTCAGCTTCTTGGTACTTACCGTGTTTCCCCGAA